ATGGTAATTGGTAATTTAATTTATTTTATTTTAAATAGTGATTTTGTGGGGTTGCGAGGCGCTGTCCGGATGTGAGTAGGGGGAGGTGCCACAGGATGGCACTGTTGTACACGGCTGGCAGGAAATCCGTCTGGGGAAAAGCTGCCCTGGGGAAAAGCTGCCCTGTGGAAAAGCTGCACTATGGAAAAGCTGCCCTGGGGAAAAGCTGCCCTATGGAAAAGCTGCACTATGGAAAAGCTGCCCTGTGGAAGCCCGGCTGGAGAAGGCGGGCAGGGACAGCCACCCGCACCTGTGGGTTTGGGGTCACCGGCCGTGCCACTGCTGCAGCCCCCACGGCAAAGCCCCTGTGCCCATTAAATACTGCAACACCCCCAGGAGCTGTCCCAGCACTTGCATATGCCCTTGCCACAAACAAAAAGACATCGCGTRTTTTATAATAGGTTTTACTTATTTTAATCTAACTTAATCTGGGTTCCTGTAAAATGAAATAGCGGTAAACCCAAATATTTTAGTTGTTCTGCGCACCTTTATCTGCAAACATGAGCGGTGAGAAAGATGAATTGAGATTGACTCATTGTAAGTGAGTCAAATTACAGATGAAATTTTGCATTTAACTTAATTGGCTGCTGTATTTATGTTTGCTGCTGTTTTTCAGGAAACAGTAAAAAATGGGAAGGTTGTTCTTTTCCTCAATTCTAGRACAAATATGAGGCAGATATTGTCATTCCTCATTCAATTCTCTTCTTAAAATGTGAATTCTTATGCTTCTATGAGAATCTTCCTATGATAGAAACAAAAAAGAGTTTTCTTTTAATTWTATTCAGAAATTKCCCGTTGGTATGAATTGAGCCTCTRTGCTCTTTATTCTCCTTCWTTTTCCTTTTCTTGAATGCTAGAGTACAGAAATTGTAGAACAGTTACAGGCTTAGATTCTAGCTAYGGGATTTCTTTCTGTTCTTGTACATTATCACAAAATTATGTTGCTTGCCATCTATGGGATGCTTTGATCCAAAATTTCAGTCATTGTTTCCACATTTAGGGGCTGGAATGAACATCAAAGAAGTGGGTGTACTGAATTTGCTGAATGCCAAAGCAGTACAGTAACATGCAAAGGATATAAGCAAATCCCAAAGGTAAAATGTGCTGCCAAATCTTGCACATAATAGAAGCTCTAAAGTGACAGTCCGTCTTTGACAAATGCATAATGATATCAATGCCAAGGGAAGGAACTAGCMTGCTGAAAGGTGAATAAAAGAGTTGGGAACAATTCGCTACATTTACACATTTCCTCAGTGTGTTTTCACACAACAAGGAAAGCAGATGAGACAAATGTATTAGGTAATCATTGGAGAAGACTGTAAAACTGGTGAGGTTCTTTAGTAACCTGGATGTTYCCTTGCCTTGTAATGAGTTTTTAAAAACAAAATATGGCTAGAAATAACTCATATTCTAAAAGAAAAAATTGCAATCCACAAGGAATGTAAAAAAWTGTTAATTCTCTTTTCCTTTGACAAGATCACATTTAATACCCAGATGGTAGTTGCAACATGGTTTTCTCTTTCCTGGTTGATGGATTCCTAAATGCTTGAAATAGTTGCAAAGGCAAGTTAAAGATTCCATATGCATTCACCAGATTTTCCACCACTGTGAACTAACAGGGTAATTTAAATTGTGTGTAAAAACATGAGAAGCACTGCACAAAACCTATCAATTTATCTTGTAAAAGATTCTGAAACCTACTTGTTAMATTCATTTTATTTTGCTTTCTTTGAAAACAAAACAAAACCCAAAGCAAATAAATGCTGTAAAACCTGTAACAAAAGGCTTCCTTCCCCAGTAAGTGCAACACTCAGCAGAGGCGAGTCTTGGGGAGTTTAGCAGATCCTGATGTGTTCTGGAGAAGAGAGGYTTTTCCCAAGCCTGCATGTAAAAGTTCATCAGAGGGAGTCTGACAGTGCTGTACTCCTGCTGCAGCCACTCAAACATTCAGAAGGAAGTCCTGCTGTAATAAAACTTCAAAGGGATAATGACTGAGGACCTGCTCTTCTCCCATTAGTTTTTCTGCCCTGTCTCTGTAGCTGAACAGTCACCTCCAGATATTGACTGGTGACTGAAAGCATGTCTGCCACATGTCAGGAGGGCTGCTCAGGTGGTGGGTATGTGGTCAGTCAGCATTTTGCCCAGGTGATAGCCATATTCAGGTAATATGATTAAAAAAAGACTATTCCGTCTTTGGCAAAGAGGAGCCTAGCCTGCTGTGGGAAAAAGTGACATATTCATGCCTCGGCTGTGGTTCCTGCACTCTAGCTACAGAGGTCTAAGGATCAGTTTAAAAAATCTTGGTAGGGTAACATTCCTCCTGCTCAGTAACTGAGGAAAAAGTTTCTGACGGGCATGGGGCAGTGTTGAGATTGGAGGGAGTGTTTCGATTGCCTGGAAACAGGGACTTTCAGTTGCTGTTGACTTTGGGACGGCCAATTAACTCATCAGGGTGCACCATAATTTAGTCATTTGGTCTCTGGAAGCGTCCCACAGAGGCACATATATGGTTCAAAGCTGCCTCTGTCTTGCTCTTCCTGCCCCTTTTCTCTCCCACCCTGAAACTACAAGTTTTCCACTCTGCTTTGGTGAGGTGCAGCAAAAAATGTAAATCTTTACCCATATAACATCCTGGTTTGTGCAAGCTGTTAGGAAACTGAATGTTGTGCCCAGATGAGGACCTGATCCCGTATGCCTTCACTCAGGTCCTGCCTTAGATTTGTAGGGATTGTGACCTACATTCTCTTCCAGAGAAGCCTGGGTAGGAAGGGACATCTGGTTTGGATTGTGGCTGCTACTTAAACCTCTTATGAAGCAGGGAAAAGARCTGCAAGTGGTCAGATAGAGATGCATCTGTTATCATAAAACAGGATACATACAGTCACCACTGAAGAAACTAGAAAAATAGACAAATAGATAATGTAGACGAGATTAGATGTTGTCTAGTACTGAAGGAGGGAATGTCCAGTCTCTTGCATTTTGTAGGCAAAGCGTCAGACCCCATGGCAGCCACCTGCTAACACTGAAAACAAGCCTGCTCTGACCACAACAAGATTGTCTCCGTGATAATGGGGGAAAAGCTGAAACCATCAAGAGCTGTGAGATTCATGGACAGGCAGACACTTTGCCAAAAAGGGAAATTTGTTAATGGCACGTAAGTCCCATCATCTTCAGGACAGTGGTAACATCTCTTGAATGTCCCTAAAGACAGGCTGCTTTCCAGAAATCTGGGTCAAAATATCACTATTTCTGCAACTCATCTACCTTCTTGGTCTGTTCTGTTGCATCATTCGCTCGTCACAGAGATACTGCTGGAAGCAATGCTGGGYCGATAAAGTGATCTGCAAAATAGGGACAGAGATGTGGGGATGAAAAACTCAGGTGGAACTCCCATAAATCCCCATACTTGACAGTCAAGCCACAGCCTTAAAATGAATGTGCAGCTATGCCTATGACACCAGCAGGATGTTAGTTTACCTTGACTGTTGGTGATGTTCTGTAAGTTGCTGGGCAAATATTGAGCTGASAGTAAWAGAAGAAAAAAAATCTTTCAACWGTCATCTGCTAGTCTGGAAAGAATGGTTCTAAGAGCTAAAGAGTGATMTAGCAAAATTCCATRCACTGAAATAATCACCACCAATTTGTGTGAGAGTAAAAAAACCACATGAATAGATGTTTGTTCCTAATAAACTCATAAGAACAAAAAACTGAACAGGTCATGACTATTATTAATAATCATACTGAAAGAGATGAAAAATAAACAAGGAAAACAAAAAATCTTAATAATTGATTGTAAGCACTGTTAAATTGGAATAAAAGATATTTGGTGGGAGAATTCATATGGCTGGAATATTAATATAAAGGTTATGAAGGATATAGATTCTTCAGGAAGGAGAAGCAGATTGAAGGCAAGGAAGGATATCATGTGCTGCAAGATGGAGCTCGAAGCTTGTGCATGGTGATAAAGAAGACAGCTAGGGTCTCCTACAGAACCTTGAATCGGGAAGTTCAAGCAAAGGATAATTTTGAYAATTAAGTGAAAGGATCTTCTAAGGCCCTGAAGATTATGTGCTTTAACTCTCAAACTGTTGGTAAAGGCATTGGTCAGGAAATTCTTGGTTGATGCTTAAAGTTAAAAGGGAACAGCTGAAGGTGAAGCAGCCTTCCAAAARGGTTGAGTTTTATGTTTTGGTTTTTTTCCTAGACACTGTTTTCCAATTTTTTGAGTTTTGATAAAAACTTTTAGAAATTGAATGTGGCACCRATTCTTTCAGAAAGGGAGAGTAAGAGAAAAAGAATTCTGGGTGCCTATTTGTCCAAAATTTTTTCCATAATTCATAATGAATTTTTAAGCCCCAAAAGATRAGAAGGAAATAAGTAGCAGCCAATATGAATTTGTGAAATTCATCCACGTGATGAATACGAATTCATCAGTAAGTAATCGTGTCAAATTGATTTTACTTCCTCTTAAAAGAGAGTAACAGGKTACAAGTAAAGTGGGAAAATGACAGGTCATGGGTATTCTTGACTGTTTGACATCATGTTGCATGAGATTGTCTTGAACAACCATCTCAGCACTGTTGAAGGTCTGAGCCTGTGTATTTGTCAGGTTTTGGGGCACCACAGTCCTAGAAGGACATAAAGGTAGTTAGAATCCAGGGGAGAAAAACCAGGTCACAACAACATGACATGTATGAAAAATTGGAAGAAGTGTATTGTATTTCTTTCTCTAGAATAAGGAAGACTGATGGGCCATGAGAACAGCCTTTGATTTTATTTACAGCAGCCTTTTACGGGAATTATTTGTTTTCTGTGGTAGATAAAACAGATTTGCACTGGCAAATTCATACTAGACTTGGGAAACAGCTTTCTGACTCAGAAAATGGCAAAACTGATTTTTTTGAGAAGGCTGTGGAGTCTTCATCACTGAAAATGTTTAAGAGTGGGTTTAAGGGGAACACTTCTTAAATTAAACCCAGCTAGAGAGAGGGCAGGGGAATCTTATTTTCCTCCCAAGGGAATCTTATTTTCCACTGATTCCCAGACACAAAGTCAAATGTCTGCAAGCTGTGGTTTCTGTGCCATCCAGGGCAGGAGATCTCTTTGCAGTCCAAGAGAATATCTGTGCTTTACCTCCCATAGGCAGCAGCAGCATCTAAGGTGATGCACACTGTGCTGGAAGCTGCAGTGTCAGGCAAGGTTCCCTCATGTGCTCTGGTTTTACTCTCACCATCGAACACTATTCTTCATCACCTGTGCTGCAGTCAGTCTTCTCCAGTAGTTAATCTCTTCCTATGGAAATGCAGAGAGTTGKTAAACATTTTCTAACCAAGTCCTTTACTATCCTTGTGTTTTCTCCATTCCTGTGCATCTTTCTACAGTTGATAGTGAGTAATGATGAAATATAGCTCAGCAGAAAGTTTCGCCTGAATATGTAATCTTTGGAATTGTGATTAGAGTTTCTAGAGWCCCCAGTAAATTAAAGCATTTCACTTTGCCWTTGTTTCAGAACTAATTATTGAAGTAGCTAAATGTTCAAGAACATAAACATGTACAAATGGGTATTAGTTGAATGGATGTAGTAAGATTTTTTTCTGGCATGAAAAGCACAGAATTTATGAGTTAATTTAATCAGAGAAGAAAAATATTGAGTAGGTGACGAAGTAAAAATGATGACTGCGTATTATGTTTTGCCACGCAGCTGAACAAACACATTCAATGACAGACTTCGGCAGGAGCTGCAAAGATGTTCTTGACAAAGGCATGAATAAATATTAGGTGCTGTACACAATTCACTGCATTCCAGGCCTTGAGCAAAACCAGGTGAGCTTTGCCTGGAAAATTTGGAAGAAACAATGTAAGCATGCTGGGAAAATGTAAACATCTACAGTGTCCTCCCCAGATGCTTTGCTGTAACAGTTTCATTTGCATCAGCAACAACTG